TGAAGATGTGGTGGACGTAGCGGTAGGTATAGGCGACTGAACGCCAGTCGACAACTGGACGTTCGAGAAGCTATTGGTGACACTCGTCGAGTCTGTGATGTGTGATAACGATGTGGTGGTGTAGGTGTAGATCGAGTTCGTGGTCACGAAATTCATGTGCTTTTTGGTCTCCACTTCCTTCTCACCCTCTTTCAGACACTCTTTCATCGAATTTACCGTGAATTCCAGTAACTCTTTGTCCAAATCTTTGATGGCTTTGTTGGTAACCAAAGGCAGTGACTCGAGAATGACTCCCAAGTGAGGGGTCGCCAGTTTCTGCCACTGCCTCAAAATGGTTGACCCTTCGAGGGGTTTCACGATCTGTAACTTATCGCCCATATAGTAGTTCTTTGCGTTATTCGTGTTATTACTATAAGGCGTCGAACCGATCATTGGCTGCGGATTATTGTAACGATAGTAGAAGGAGTCGCCCGACAGTACAGAGTCGGGACTATAGCACCGCATCTCTTCGGTGCCGGTATTCTGATTGCCGGCACTCTTGCGGACGGGTCTAAAGCCCAGACTCGAGAGCTCGCCATCTGAGCAGTCGCTGCCGAGCGTCGACTCCAACTCGGAGGCCAACGAATCGGCGAATGGCATGTATTGGTAGTGACTTGTGTTAAATCGCGATTTCTTCTTGAACTCGGTCTGCAATTCGTGGAAAGCGGCCAAAAGTGTGCCGTATTTCTCCTTAATCTCAATCAACTCGACCGACAACTCGTTCTGACACTCGTGGGACACTTGGAGGGCGTTCTGAAGGGAATCGCATTCAAAGGTCAAGTCGCGCGCTCGTCGCTGCAGTTCAACCACTCGTGTGACAAGATTTGTGATCTCTTCCTGTTGTCTCACGTTATCTTCGCCTTTGAGTCCAACCTCTTCCTGGAAGCTCAGAATCTGGAGATTAGCCTCAGCTGTGGTGTACGTGACGGACAGACTGTTAGTACAATCAGATAACGGAAGACAAACAATGGGAATACGGACTCAATTGTTTGGCGCAGTCGTGTATGAGTTGGAGTTCCTTTCGCTCCTCCAACTCGATGTCGTTGGCTCTGGCGGTGGCCTCGCATTTGAGCCGAAGGTTCTCTTCTTCCAAAGAGCCGATCCTTTTGTTCAACTCATCCCAATTGGACAAACCGATCGACTTGTCCTCCAACGACTGGTGCGGCTGCTCTTCCGACTCGAGCTCCTGGGCCTCAATGTCCGCGCAATACACTTGCAATAAACCATTTTTCATCGACAGTTCATGTTTTAGTTGTATTACCTATCGATTCAAACCATTCGTTTTCATGACTACTTCACAACTGACTTTAAATTTAGTTCAAAGATTGTTATCAAACAAAAAGTTTGCATTCGGTATTGCATTCAAGCAATGCATTCACGTTCAATGCAATTACGGTATATTAACAAACTTTTTCTTTAGTTATAATTAGTTTTTAATCAAAAAAATATCTTAAAAATATCGCACAAACCCTTTCGTTAGTGTTAAAAAGTTCAAACTTAAGTTTTTCGACCTAAAAGGCAAACAATTAAATGCAAAAACAAAATATTAAAAACAAAACATAAATCAAATAAAGAAAAAGACAAGAATTAGCAAATATATAGATAATATAATATTAATAAAATAAAATAAAAGTTTTATTAGTATTCAAGGCTAAAGTTTAACTCTACTATAGATACGCTTTTTGCTGCTTAAGAGTTATGTTTACCATTAGATTAGAGTTCAAAATATAACTAAAATATAATGCTTTGTAATTATCGACAGAAATGAAAAGATAATAAAGAAAAAAGTCAATAAATATGAAGTATGCGAGCGATTGTGTAACATATTTACCGCTTCATTAGTTGAGGACAATTCAGTCTCTAATTCCTCCGAACGGTTTGTCAGCACTTTATTCTGCTCTAAGAGGGACTGTCCTATTCTGGCCGCTAATTCCAGATCCCGTTCCTTCTGTTAAGTCATGACATGAGACAAAAATAAGTTTTAAACATATGGTCACCGATTGACAAACAACTGAGTGATAAAAACATACTTCTTCTAAGAGTTTGGTGACCACTTCGATATCATTGTAAGTCTTTGTCATTTGGCTCAAGCGTTCGCCGGAGAGTATGAAATATTTGAGAGTTTCGCCTATTGTCTCGGCACTCAAGTCGACCGGTGCCTCGCTATCTAACACTGGAGTCTTGATATACCAGTCGTTATTGTCATAGCCTTCACATAGAAAACCAAATAAAATATCGATTTTATAATTATAGCGCAAAAACCATTAAACATTAACTATTAAACCATTAGTGCACACCGTGTGTAGGCTTGCAATTGAATGTCACAAATAAAACATTTATTACAGTCATTTCATACCTGCAAACTCGGTGATAGTGTCGTACCGGAGCTTATATTTGGGTATATGTTCTTCGACTAAAGACAAGAGTTCCACTTCATCCACACCCTCCTGATTGTTGCAAATATCTGCAATCATTAACATATAAAAACTGTGAGCACTTTGAGTACATCCAGTTCTGGCATTCAATTAAAATTGAGTGCAATTTATGAAATCATAGATTTCTATTGAATATGTGAACCTTTTTGGTTAAATAATAGTTATTTTTGCTATAATTAAGTGATAACATAATAATGAGTGGAGAGATAACTCACGTAAAACGATTGAAAAATGTCATAAAAGTTAAGACACATCATAGTATGGGATATGATATGAACATACACTACAGGTATATACAGTAACATAGCTTATAATCAATTGAAAGACACAAAAAACTTTTATATCACATTATTGTCGATTCAATACATTAACAATTGATTACATGAAATGAATTGCAAAACAGCGTTTTAGTAGTAGAAATGTTACGGAGTTAACAAGTACACATACAGGGAAAAATCATTGAAATAAAAGTCTAATAAAACGGTGAGTCTCTACTAACTATGAAAAGAGTTTAATAACTATTTGATTGATAGGAAAATGGGTTTCTCATTGAATATTAACGCTATTATGTTATGAATGATAACTATTTAATAAATACATTGTATATTAATGTGTGTTAATAGAGTTAACGACTAAATCATAAATACAAAGTCACAGCAAAAGGTATAGTATTATTGGCGGTTAGGTATGCAATGGTTAGGTATGTAATGGTTAGACCTGTTATTGTCGATGAATGAGTCTTATTAGTCGTATTGTTATTATTATAATTAATAACACAATTAGTATTGACTATCGATTGGCAGCAATGAGTGCAGCGATCGCTCACAACAGGCAACGATTGACTGCTATTTATAATCGCATTATTCATTAGCAGTGAATGTCTCTCAAAATGATTATCAGATCCAGCGATACGTTGTGACACTTCTTCGGCACCATTTCCTCCTGCGATTGCTTCCAGTTTTGCGGTTATATTAACGCCCTTATCATCACATCTGTCGTCAACTCTTGCGGACTTCTTCAGCACTCTTGCAGTCGTTATATAGATTTAATTATGGATTTCATGAAAACACTTGTGATTAACGCATTCAATAACAATAAACAATACGACAAACAGTAGAGGTATTCATAGACGTGCCATAAATATCGTTCAGTTTACCACTGTTTGCGACGACTTTTGAATTTTAATTAAAAAGTTTTTTATTTGGGTTTTAATTTCTTTTAGTATTTTTTGATAATTTAAAAAAAAAATTTCCCGTATTTTCGGCTCCTTTTTATGATTATGTTTTGCATTTTAAATTGGTTTGTCATCAGATTTACCGCATATTTAATGCCATACTATCTATAGATATAAACTTCTGGTTAAACAAGAATATTATTTTTTATTCGCTTTTTATAATGTAATGATTGTTTGAACAGTAATTTATAAATCAATAAATCATTTGTCTTTAATAGGATTTTTTCATGCAATCATAGATTATGTAAAACATATCGTAAGAGATATGCTTTTAATTTAATTTTAATGTCTATTATATGATATTTACATAACTATTGCTTAACATTGTTTGGAGACTAGCGATAAGAATAGTTTTCTAAATAGTACCTTGGTATTATATTTGCATGTTTTATTGTTTGTTCAGTGCTAATTTGAAAATATTTTTTGCATAATTATCTAACTAATTGAGTCTTGGTTTATTATATGAATATTAATGATGTGGAAAAATTATTATTTAAAAACAACATATTTTAATTGCTGTTTAATAATAAATTTACTTTAAATGTTATCAAAAAATTATTAAATATTTTTCCATTGATCCAAATTTTTATAAATATGTTTTGTTTGTTTTTTAATTATCAGATAATTTTAAGTGGTTTATAAGAATAGGGATTAAAATTTAATCATTAAATTCATACTTTTACTGTATATAGGATTAGGAGTGCAGTGTTTAAGTCAACATTAAAATTAAACAGCAATTTCAGTTTCTATTCGCCCCTAACTGTAAGTGTTATTGTGTGTGCTTTCACTGCAATACACATAATACATGAAAATGTTACGAAATTCTTGTTTTACAAAACGCTGCATAAAAGGGGCAAAAATAGGGTCGGTATGGGAGCCTGAAAACTATGCCCATATTAGACACGTTTGTAAAGTACATATAATTTATGGACATTTGTTTCAAAACAAAAACATTTGATTTGAAATTGTTTTGTGAAATCAATAAACAAAACATGTTTTCATTCATTA